CACGACGCTGTACGATAAGCGCCTCACTACTGAACGGCTATGACAGCCACGAAGGCCTACGGTGAACCCTGAGAAGATCGAAATGGAAACAAGGCTCGGCAGGGAACTCAGTATGTCTGAAGGCTCTTTTTCCTAGTTGCCATTTGCTCCACCACTATGAAATCTTTTCATCTTTCCGTGTACCATCTAGGAAGACCCTAGAAGTCAGTGTGAAGTTCTACAACATCAGGTAACATCTTCCATTCGGATAGTCGACAGCCACCAGAGTTGTTCAAGGCATTTGCATGAATGCATGAATTTCCTGAATGAACTAGCACCTCCTCAGAAAGTTGATTCTTGTATTCAACATATGGATCGCGCGAAAAGGTAGATAAGAAAAAAATGATCACCGAGGACCGTAACTCAGTCTTCAACAAATCTTAGCGACTTGTCACCCGTGGGATTGCTATGTTCCAACGTTGAACCTGCTCGGTGGATGCCCGGATAATAAAGCACCGTACAGGCTACCTGGAAAACTTGAAGACACCACTCACCACTGGAGTCGCTGCCAGTTGTGAACTTAAGTGGCAGAAAGAGCAATGCCAAGACAATGTTCCACAGGAACGATACTGATACTGAGAGTTCATCGTCAGAACATGGGAACATGTCCAACAGATAAAAGGAACTAGTTAATGGGGCCCATAAGCTACTGATTATGTATATTTCAACCCTCCTTAGCGAAGCAAGAGGCCGTTCGAAGACTTCTGCGGGTAGAAGCTATTCTGTTCAGGTGTCGACATCACCGACATGTGCTCTCAGGCCGGTGGTAGTGTTCTGATAAACCCAACCTGGCTGACAGAGTCATTGAATGGAAGCCTATCAGCGTATGAGTGATAGTTCTACGGCTGAAGTTCTAACCTTGCTACAAGTCGACACTCTGAGTTTGGAGGGACAGTCTGAGTTCTTCCTGGAGGAAGTAGACGTTGCTTTGCACAAAGAACCGACCACGCAATTCATGGTTCTCATGGGCGATTTCAATGCACATGTAGAAGCAGAGACGGAAAAGCGAAAAAGGGTGGTCGAAAAGAACGGCTCCAGCGATCTTAGCAATAACGGTATAGAGTTGTTGCAGTCTTGTGCAAACAAAGGCCATCTGTATAAGTAAAGGCAGGTATAAATATATGACAGTAGCTTACACACAGAAGTTGCTGATCGATTTTATCATAATATTGTCTGAATTATGACCATATATAATGAATGCTGGCGTTAAGAGAGGCGCAGAGCTGCCAACCGAGCATCACCCTGTTGTTGGCACCATGTGTTGTAAACGATGAAAAACCATATAAAAGTCTGGCGGCCGAAGCAACTAGAAAATCTAAAGAGAAACTTTATCTTCTGCTGATACGAGGGCAAAACTTGCAAGCAACGTAGCACTACGGTTTAAACTGATCCTGGTGATGACGTTCGATGTGGAAAACTGGTCGAAGCTCTGAGAACGGCCAGCTCGGGGTTCCCGCCGAGTGCTTTGGTTTATAATGGGCTGACCTGCTGCCCTGCCTGGAGATCAAAAACGAGTTTTCTGATGGTCACGAAAGTTTCACCTGGCTGTCACTGATAGGCTCACTTTTAAGTCATGGCTCAGAAGCAAAGAGCATGCAACTCGAATGCAGTAAATGGCCCAAGGCGCCAGCGAAAACACTGGCAAAGGGGAACGCTGATTTCTGAGGAAAGTTCGTTGAGGTACACAAGCGGTTAATGAGGTATTCAACCCTCCATCCGCAGCTTCCGGCTTTGAAAGAAGGGCAGTCGTAGAGTCTTGAAGGACAAGTCCGGACAAATTCTTACCAACGAAGATGACAAATTTTGGGATGACGGGTGTATGCTGAGGAACTTTTGAACCCTGAACTACCGACTGGCCGGAAGAGCATCACGCAGAGAATATTTGACTTTCGGTGTGAGAATTCATCGAAGCTTGAAAAGTGGCAAGGCTGTTGGAATAGAGTAAATTTTTCTTGTCATACTTATAGTTGATGGTGAACAAAATATATTGTGGTTATCACGTATCTATCAAAGCTGATTCATTGCGGGAATAACTGGAGTCTGCTGGAGAGCTGGGGCTGTAGTTCCCCTGCTCAATGTGTGAGACCATGGGAAGTGCTTTAATTATTATCAAGATATTACCTTATTTACCTCTTGGGAAAAGTTTATACAAATGTATTAGACGAGAGTAAAATGCAGACAATCTTGTTTTGTTGGCATCGACTGATCTCCAGCGTTCTCCGGAAAGCTTCACAATCGAGATATGCGTGTGAACCTTTTTAAAATGAAAATCCTCCATCTTTCTCGCTCTTTTACCCGGTACTGTGTTCAGATTAACGGCAAAGCAGTGAAACAGATGGAGAAGTTTACGTACCTTCGAGTCGTATTTACTGGTGATGGAAATTGGAGGAGATCGGCTCTGCTGATCAGAGTTGTCAGTGGCATTCTGCGTGTGCCAGCCTTGAGCTGGTCACCAGCTGTGAGTAAAGCAGAGCTGAGTCTGAAAACTATGGGCTCAATGTTCTAGTTGATCTTCATCTCCATACTTATCTGCGGTCATGGGGCGTGAGCCATGTCTGAATAACATCCCGGATACAAGCGGCTGAAATGGGCTTTCTGACACGAATCGCAAGTCTCAAGCGGTTCGGTCCGAAGTACGGTTATTGGAGAGATCCTTGGTGTACAGCAACGTATTCCTTGAATTGAGAAGTCACAACCTCTATGGTTTTGGAACGTGTTTTGAATGCTTCCAGAAAGGTTACCGACTGAAAACCCCGGGGAGGGCCAAGAATAATCTGGGGGCAATTGACTCTAAGCACTCGACTCCACACTCACATTATCATCTGCCGAAGGTGAAACGCTGGCACAGAATCGGGAAGGTTGGAAACACTGTGTAGCGCGCCTGCCTCCGCGACCAGAAGGAGTATGCAGTTCTCGCAACTGACCGACTGATCGTTCAACAAGGCAAGGAATAAATGACTTTACTGAGACACAATGAACCCCTATCATACCTCATAAAACTGTCGGCTAACGAAGGGTCTGCCAGATCTGCTCATGATCGTGAAGTCTGCTAGATCTCTGTGCAAAAACGATGTTCTGCGTACAAACTGCGATTTCAGCAGTCCCAGAACCAGACCCAAAGGTGGCAATTAAAGTGGATGTAAATGGCGCAGAATTCAAATCATTTGGATCACTTGGATCAGCTAGTAACAGTTGAGGAATCTCGGCGACCGCAACACACCCACGGTTCTTCGCGGTTTGAGCCTTCACCCTCCAAGCACAACTTTCGTAACTCGTGATACAATCTTCCCACCGTAGTGATAGGCGACAAAACGCTCTAGCTGGTGAGGATATGAGTCAGAGATCATCATCGTCTCTCTCCCGTCCATTAGACGAGCTAGTGAGTTGAGTTAAGTTAAGAATCCCAGGTGAGACAATTAAGATATATGATTTAAAATTACGGATGGTACTATCTGCTATGCTGCATAGAAGAAATTAATTGAAGGTAGAAAGGAAGGATTCATTACAAATGAATATAGACAAACTTGAATCAAATCGATTTGACTAACTCGTTGGGCGCTATGGAATTAGATCACAAAACATTTTCTTGAAATAAAATCTGGTTCCATCGCCTAACTTCAGCCAATTTTAATAATGAATAATAAGTACCAACAAAAACTGCAAATCAATCTTTATTAAGCCCAATTTTTGCGGCTACACCACCTCAGACACTCCGAAAATTCATATCTTTTTTGAGTAGAAACAGTTTAAATGCGGTTGAAAGGACTTACATTGTGTTAAAATGGAATTAATGAGGGGCATGCGCAAGTGTCACAAATATATTATGGGAATTCTGAATAATAGCTAAAAAATGAACTACTACTCAAGCACAAATTCATGTCATTCATGCGAAAGTAGCAAAATCCTTATGCTGCGGATGGCCCTGAGCTCCTTTTTCCTTCCAGCGGCATTTCAGCCTGCCATCGTAGCTACATCCCTATAGCACCGTCGTCTTTTAATAGGATCGTTTGTTAAACTCTCCTACTACGTTTTACAGTAATTTTGTATAACGTGTGTGTAATCGCCGTTGAATTAAAACCATATCTGCAACGTTATTGAATCACCAAGGTGAAAGTTAGTGTAATAAATATCACGATTTGCATAAACAGATCCAAAACATGCCCTCTGCCACAAATTATTGTGCAACTCTAACAGAGAGGACATCGGAACAGAAGTTCACTAATCGCTGCTAGCCGTGCGACAGCAGCATAAGGCGTGACGCGTGGAGACGTGCTCTTGCTGTTGGAAGGGAATCAAATGTTATTCCTCTGTTCGATATCGATCACTGCTGCTACCTGGTAAGCAGCATGAATTAATTGAAAAATATCACTTAGTATTCTGCCCATGAAGCAAGTGCGAAAATCTAATTACCCCTGCCCCCTCGGTGGGTGGTTAGGTCAGTGGAAACGACGAGTTACTGATGCGGTATGCTGTCGACCATTCCCATGAACAGACGAGTCCCTGTTCGTTCAGAACCTCTGCGTTTCTGAACCGAACCGGTATTGATTACGTTTCAGATTGTTCGCATACGATGCCGTAATGCGTTCACTGGTTAGGCTTTACAAAAAGCTTTTCGGCATGTGCTACGGTTCCCACCTACCCCCGTTGTGCGCAGCGCTGAAGGGTGAGTGGCTAAGATGGCCAAGATAGGAGACTCTCAAGAGCGTGATTGTTAGAGGAGGCGTCGTCCGCATTCGCCCGAACATAATGAATGATCACTGAACTCTCTGTATGAGGAAATGACAGGTTTTCAGGTAAGCTTGTGATTATGGCTTTCAGTGTATGATCAGGGGGTACTTTGGCGACGACCGACGTGCAAACAATGATCAAATTTTTCAGAATGATATTCATCGTAGAAGGAGTATTTACTGATGAGATGTTGCCATAGAAATGTTCATTGACGATGCGCGTTGACGCGAAATTCATACGACTTTCGTCACCCATGCCTTTGTTCGGTAAAGCGGCAACGACGCCGGTCGATATTCGGATTTGATTGAAACATTTCCATGGCTATGCGGTGTTCGACTCGGACAACATGCGACGCCGACGATGATGACGGCCTGCGACGGGTGACAGTTGTCGTAGTCGTCCTCGTCCTCGTCCTCGTCGTCGTCGTCGTCGTGGCGGTCTTTGCCGCCGAGGAGCGCTTCGCCTCTGGCCGCTAATGACTACCTTCAGGCGACGACTTCTTTGCCACTTCTTCGCCACTTCTTTCGTCACCGTTATTAACTTCCATTTTAGGCACTCGCTCGAAGACGACGACGTCTGCTGTGACGATCAAGAAGACGTCTCTGGTCGCCCGCCTCTCGGTGTCCAGGGAACGCGGCCGCCCAGCTGCGGCTGCAGTGTTAGCCTGCTGGTGACCAGCACTGTCAGTCGAAGACATACTTGGCTTGGTCCCCCCGTTCGCCAACCAACACGACTCACTCACTGCCTTTGACCGAAGTACGACCGACCGACCGACCAGACCGCCGCACTAAGCTAGCGACTGACGTCCGACGGTCAGTCCCGCAAGACTCACCTCCACTGCTGCCATGTTACTCTATTACCTGGCGGCCATCTTCAAGGGACTGCACCCTCGTGTGGACGACGACTTCGTCGACAAACTGAATTACCATTACACGAGTGCCATCATTTTTGCTTTCGCCATCATCGTCAGTGCCAAGCAGTACGTCGGCTATCCGATCCAATGCTGGGTGCCGGCCCAGTTCACCGACGCCTGGGAACAGTACACGGAGAACTTCTGCTGGGTGGAGAACACGTATTACTTGCCTTTGCACCACGCCATTCCGCAGGACTATGCAGAACGCCGCTCCCGCCAGATCAACTACTATCAGTGGGTGCCATTTGTACTGGCTCTAGAAGCGCTCATGTTCTACATACCGTGCATTCTTTGGCGGGGATTGCTTCACTGGCACTCAGGTATGACGTTTAAGACGCTTTGTTTTTTTTTTGTTTTATTTCTTTTTTGGTCGTCCTCCTATCCTCTTCACATGCAAATAGATCGCTAAGGTCAACGTAGAAAACGTTCTTTATGTTCGTACGTCGAGACCCAGGCGACACTCTATTCGTGGTATCCAATCGTCGTCGCTAATTTAGCCTCATGCTAAATAGCATGAGTCTTCCTGTCACCACTACGCGAAACATTTTTCCACTTTGTGCTTTTCCTTCATTACGATGTTACAAATTGGTATCAGGACTGCTTATCGTTAACGATGAATCGTTTGGAAAACGATATGGTAACTAATAGCTCTTTTTCTCGTAGGAAGCAGATTTATGGATTTCGTTCAAGTGGTGTCCGGATATAATTTTTTCATGTCATCTCGTGGTCGTTTTCTTTTTTATCTAAAATGCATTTAATCCTCTTACCTCTGAATATTCTTTATTCGTTTAAATACAATCCCTCACTGACTGGCGCCAAGGATGCTCATCTGTCTGGATTATTGCATTGATTCGTTCATCCCATGCTGCGCATTTCCACTTCGTACATGATTATATCCGTTGCTTCATGTCTGATACAAAGTCGTTAACAGTAATATCATGTATCAGACTGCTATACTGCGTCCGTACACAAAACTCAGCCAATATTTTTATCAGAATCATCGTGAGCATTTCTGGATTCACTGCTGGAGGAAGGCATCTCGAAGAATTTAGAATTCCTATTTTCCGCCCAGAAGTCACCGTCCTCCATTTGGAGAAGACATGACACGGCTTACAAATGCTTTCATTCTGCTTTCGTTTGGGATAATGCTGACGATGGCCCAAAAATCCTTCTAGTCGGTAACAGGATCACGACATATACGGTAAAGATGCGGATGAACAAAACCGTTGCATCTCCATCGAGTGACAATTTTAATGAACAGTGAGTATTTATGAATTCTTTTCTCACAGTTAGGTGTCACAGGTCTCCTTTAATTGTTCTTTGTTCCAAGGATTTTCAGTTGCCGCCTTTACGTGACTTATTTACTGTTTACGTCTGCAGTTGTCCTCAGTTTCCCTCCGCTTGCGTTTCAGAGTGGCATAGCAGTTCTATCGATCTTTTCCAATTGTACATTATACCTGTGCATGCAACAATGTGAAAAACATTATTTTCACAATGACAGCAAGTGAATTTATATCTGGCTCAGGAAGCTCGACGCTGAAACCCGCTTATGCATTTCTTCGTTATGGCTGTTTCGTCATCATCTTCAACCGCTTTGTAAAACCGCAGCCTGTTTAAGGGCGTGATATCCGCTCATCCTAAAATTTTACACTTTGTTATTAAAAGCTCCTTAACAACAACAATGTGCAATTTACAACACTGTATGTTTGCTATCAAGCCAATCAAGGAAGATTAAATGAAAC